AAGTATTACAATTTGGAATAAATGTTGACATTTATGCTATTCATTAAGTAATATAACAAATGCATGCAATGACTAGCACAAATGTGTTACATTATAAGCTAAATTAGAGCATGCATCTGCATAATGTAAATATAATACTATAAGCATAATATAATAGATGCATGCAAAAAATACATGTATTTAACATATTTTACATATGATTTGAATATGAGACTAAACAAAGTTTATTAGCAATAGCAATTGAAATAAATTAGACATTTGAAGTTTCCAATCAACAACAATTTTGATACTTTGTTTTGTTTTCTATTGCAGTACCCGCCTACTATGCTACTGACTGTTGATCATAATGATTGAGTTGTGCCATTACAAAGTTTTCAATTAGTGAAATGTTTTGCTTGGATTTGGTTTAAGTTCTTTTGCATTATCAAACCTAAAATTTTATATCGACATAGCAAACAAGATAAGGAAAAGAAAAATAACAAACAAAATCATGTATGCACTGGAAAAGCATTAGTCTCATTGACTTCAAAAATATTTTAATTTGAAATAAAAATCAAAATTGTTGCTGGGAATAGTGTTGGCAAAATTTTGGTTGGCAAATGAGCGTTCTTCATTTGCTTATGTTATTCATTAGTGTCACCATTGTTCGGGGGAAGAACAATAAACTGAAAATGTTTGATTTTGTCATCCTAACTTTGATGGTTTAGGTATTAATAAATCTATTGACCAATTGTTATTTTCATGATTATATAACTATTGGCCCAGTTATGTTTTCCATGTTAAATTTGATTAAAAAATAAACTAAATGAATGATGGTGCATTACTCTTTCATTTACAATACTAGCTTTATATGCCATTTAGTGGTTTTCCCTATATGCTATATTTACTAATCTAAATGACAATCATCCCTGACTCTCAGTTGATGGGTGATGAGATAAAAGTTTTGATTACTTAAAGCTTTAATTTGTTGATATACTTTCTATAGAGAAGTCTAATGCATTCTATTAATTTCTTCAAAGACTATAATAATCCTTTAGGAAAGAAAAAAGGTTGATGGAGCATTGCTTTTGGGTTTGCCCAAAATATTTAATCTAAGTACTATTTGTGTTGCAAATAAACTTTTAAAATGCTTTTTCACATTCTCAAAAATTGTTCCTAGAATGTTGAGTTTTTGTGATGGAAATTAAACACGGAATATGACATTGCAGGGAAGGTATTATGTCCACACCAGTTGTTTCTATTATAATTCGAAAGAGAAAGGCAGTTGTATCTCTTTTCATTTTGATTTATATGCATCGTGTCAACATTTAAATATTTATGTATTTTTACCACTTAATTTAACGAATTTTCCCTTTAGGCTAACGGTGGATTTATCGTGAGTGCAAACCATAATCCTGAAAGCCCTGAATATGACTGGAGTATCAAGATTTATATCTAACCTAACTATGGCAACATGTTTGGTAAAATTATGAAAGTGAAGATCATTTATGGATTGATGTTAAGAGTTAATAATTTAGAAGTGCTCATTTATTTATTTTTAGTTCCTAATTTATTATTTGGATATTTGCATTATTCTTTCATATTATTTGGATGTATCGAAGGAATTTGTTTTAAAATTTGAAATTATTACTATTTATTTTCCTCTTAAGTTTTTGCTAAGAGGGTAACAACTTACTTTTGGCTTATGATGTCTTATCCAGAGGAACCTTAAAGAAAATTTATACAATAAGTAAGTATATAACATTTTTGCTTTGAGAAAAAAAAAAGATTAAAGCTTATAATGTTCATATAATATAAAAAGAAAAAGTTGTTGTTGGCCCAAAATTATTTGGCAAAAAAAGACCAAATAGCTTTGTTAACTCTTATAATGTCAAAAACTTATTTTAATCTAAAAATAAAAAAGTACAATATTAAAATTTCTTATTTTATTGCATGTTAACATAAAAAAATAAAAAATAAATTTAAAAAATATAAAAATTTTGTACATTCGACGAAGCGAGGACAACCGACTAATATTTTTAATGTAAAACATATATTGTACAGATAATTGTTTACATTGATTAATCATTAAACAAAGCTAATGTTATATAAAAATATTTTTTGAAATAAATATTTAATCAATATGTAAAAATTTATTTTTTGGCATATGCATTCATTATATATATATTTCTTTTAATTTGATATCTTGTGATACCTTACTAATGACAACAAAAATTATGCAAAAATTATCAAAACATATTTATAATTTAATAAATAATTAAGAAAATTTTGATTATTATCTTAACTTTTATAATAAATAAGCTACTATCAAATTTGTCGATTATGATTGTCACTCTTTATTCAATTAAACAATTATTATATTTTCATGCAAAACATCAAATTTTAGTAAATTTTAGATCTAAAATGTATTGTTTATGTAAAAAAAAAAAAAGAATGAATTACCCATTAAAATTTAATAAAAAGTTGCTTAGATACGTGAATAACTCAAACATTCATTAATATAAAAGGCATGTTGTTAATTGAAGGGCATGTACACCAATTAAAGGGACTGATTTGAAACTCGAATGTTCATCCGCCTTCGAACCCAGTAAAATAATGATTATAAAAAAGAAAAAATGAATACATATATATGCAATATTAATAGAAATAAATGGAAGAAAAAGAAGACTTCTTTGAAAAATTACCATCATATATTGTATAAATAGTTTGAATGACTCTTAATTGCCACATTAAAAAAAATATGAGTTTACATCTCATTAATTTTTAATTATAAATAAATTATATACAAAGTTACTTGCCGAACCTTTTTTGCATTGAGGTGAAATATATATACTCCTTCTGTCTCATTTTATTTGTCTATTTTTTTTGGGATATCCTAAAATTATATATATATATTTGAATATATAAAATTTTTATTTTTTATTTTAAAATTATATTTTATGATATTTTTTACTTTTTAACATAGAATTTTAATTTTAATATGGAATACGTTAAAATTAAAATTTTTTTCTTAAACTCTATGAAAATTAATAAATGACAAACTATATATATAATGACAAAAGATTTTAATTTGTCATTAAAACTTCAACTTTAGTTTTGTTTGATGAAATTTAGACTTTTTTCAAGAATTATTATTCAAAAACTTCAATTACAATAATTCAATATAACTAAATCTATTTTATATTTATAAAATCAAAATATTGTTATTAAAATTTAAAATTGATAATGAAATCAAAGTTGCCCATATTATAATGGCATAAGATCTAATTACTCATGCACTCTTTGATAAAATTTAACCAGTTAAAATTATCTAAGAAATTTCTATCATAACCATAATAATTCAATATAGTTTAAACACTTTTTTATCTATAAAATTAATAATAATAATATTATTATTAAAATTAAAAATTATAATAAATAAAAATTAATTTAAAATGGAAAGTTAGAATTTTAATTTAATGTATAAAAACTATTTATTGTTTGTAAAAATAATTTTATTTTAAAATTTAAAATTATAATAAAATAAAAATTAATTTCAAATTTTAATAAAAAATTATTTCATTGTTCAAAAAGATTTTTCGCATCTTTCCTTTATTCTATACAGAGTTTAGTTCTACGGGCGGGTCAATTTAGACCCAAATTCTAACGCAGCGTTTGTCGATCGCAGGGCCCAACGGTTTAAAATAAGCCTAATTTGAAATCGTATTTTGGGCCTGAAACTTAAACAGTCCAGCCCAATCATGATTTTTCTCCCCACAAAACAATCCACTCTTCCGATGATTATTTCGTCGATTTCTGGGTTGATCGGGCTTTTCCGTTCAGTCTTCTCTCCATCACTTTCTCAGCAACTTTGTCTTTCCCTCACCGATCCTATCTCCATTTCTCTACCTACGATATAAACAAAACTGTAAAGCTCAATTTTATGATTTTTTTTATCAAATAATTATTAATTTATAAACTATTTCCCTCATTAATCGAAGATGGCGAGCGGTCACTTGACTAAGCGAGCTAAGTATAAAACCACAATCAAGGACCCTGGAACTCCCGGTACTCTTAGAATGGTACTCATTTGATTGATTTATTTAATTTTATTTTTTATGATTTATTTTTTTCATTTAAATTTGATCGGTGTAGAAAAAGAATAATGAACTAATGTTTAAATAATTCATCTTTTTTTTTTTATGAAATTTGAAGATTTGAATGCATTATATTTAGAGCTAGCTATTTTTCATTTTTTAAAAGTTTGTATTATATTATTATTTTGTTTAAATAATCATCTGTTTTTATTTATTTTATTTTATAGTAATAAAATGTGGTTTTGGATAGGTGCTAAAAAGAGAGTTATTGCAGATGAGAAAGCTTTACTTTAGGAAAATGATTTAAGTTTGTGATGTGTTTTATTGTATTGATAAATATTTTTGTGGTGAGTATTTTAATAATGTGTCATCAAGTGATTGAAGGAAATAATGTTGTAAGTAACTTTGCTTTGTACAGACAATTGAGAAAATTTTATTTGTGCCTTATAATCCTAAGTCTGCTGGAAAGCTTGATGTCGAATTTCGATACATTAAAGGTAAATTGCTGCAATGCTGTGTGTAGTTCGGAATGTACATTTGCACGGCAACACTTATCATATTGTATAAACAATGTTGCTTAAATGCTGAAATGTGCAGGTCAAAAGCATACGAAAGAGGGATCAAACAAGCCGCCATGGCTTAATCTTACTAATAATCAGGTATCATTGTTTATGTCCATTGACTTCATTTTTGTTTAGGGACAGATAACAATGGTTTTGGTTATTGATTTGTTTTAGTATTTATTTAGATTGAATCTCAATGCTTTTCTGTGGTTTTGATTGAAAAATGAAGTGTTCAAAGTTTTCTTTATGTGTTGCTTTCAGAATGGGAGTTTCATCTTTGAGTTTGAAAATTATTCCGATCTCCAAGATTGTCGAGATTTTGTGGGTAAGTTTCAAGTTTCAGTTGAATGAGTTTTGCCACAATATGATTCTCGGATTTCATTAAGGATTTACTTACAGGTTTGTCATTGTTCTTAGCAGTCGCCATGCATGCTTTTGGATATTTTTTCTTTTCTGATAAATTGCTGAAGAAGGCTTTTTAGTTTTCTATCTCTCCTTGTTGACATTGATATATTGAATAGCTTATCAATGGTGTTAACTTGTTCTTGTTCTTGGTTTTTTATTTTATTTTTATTAATTTTTTGCTTCTCTCTTAACAAGTGTATAATTCTGTTTAATTTCTATGGTTATGGGCCTGAGGTTTACTGTATACATGCTTATTTATCAAGAATTATTTGATTCAAAGTCAATACATCCCCCTCTTTGTTTCCCTTTTAATTTTGCTGTTCTATGCCTTGCATGTTATGCTGCATCATATGAAGTTTTAGTTCACTTGTTTCAAGATGTGATTTTCATTTATCATGAATAGGAAAAGTTCTTGCAAAGAGTGCAGAATTTTCTGAAAAATCTACTGTTACATATCCTGATGAACAACTTAGTGCAGCAGAAATGGAGCTCCGAATTAAGTTATTACAGGAAGATAGGTGAATTTACCTTTCATTTTTACATGATTCAGAAGCAAATTTGTTAAAAAGAATAACAAGAAAAACATAATTGATTAGAAATCAACTTCCATCACTACCTATTTGGTGGCATGCCGGTTTGTAATTGTATTGTGAATTCCAACTGGGGTGGGGTGAGGGATTCAAGATGCTTACTTCCAGCAAATTTAAGAAAAAATTTAAAGGTGGGATGGAAAATAGGAAAGCAACCTGCTGCAAAGTGAAGTAATTAACAGTGTTATGGTTTACATGATTAGGTTTTATTATATTTTATTGCACCCATGCATTCGCTTATTATGGTTTATGCATGAAAGAATTTCAGATTGATAAGGAAATATAGGAGTCGAACTGTGGTTTGTAAAATATAAAACTCATGTTGATATTGAATAATTTGTAAACCATAAATCTCTAACATGAAATTAAAAACAATCCACACAGTGGTGATGGTAAGTTTGTTCTGAAATCATCTCTTTGTGTCTTTCTAGAGGTATAAGTAATTTGATTGGACATCTCTTTGTGGATGTAAACATTTCAGACAGTAAAATTTTCCTTAGTTCTTATATATGATGAGTGGAACTTAATATATGTAAGTTTGAAATGGACATAGAATGTAGAACATGATAGTTATTTTATATGTATATGTACCTCTTTTAAGTGAAATAGGATAAATAAGGTATGATCATTTGAGTCGAGTTGCCACAATAGCAGATTTGACATGTAAAAATAAAAGTCTTAACTGACTATGTCTTGTGTATGTTTGCTTATTTTGTGTTGTTGGCTCTGCTTATGCTTGTTTGCATTTTGTTTTATATGAGCTGGATTTTGTGACTATTTGCAACTATGATGGATTATTGTGGAACCCAATAATCTACATTTTTAAAGATGTAAATGGTGAGCTTAGAAGTCCTGCGTAAAGCTTACTGGTAAATCAGCACATCTTTTGTGCTGTCCTAAATTCTGTAAATGCTTGAATTGAACAGATAATAAATCTTACCCTTTACATCTTGGGCAAGAATTTTAAAAGTTACTGCTGCCGCCTGCTGGATTCTTTGCTACTGGATGCAACTTCTTGAGCTGATAAGTAATTGTTAAATTGTTCTTTCTTCTTCTCAGTGAACTGCAGAAACTTCACAAGCAATTTGTGCTTAGTGATGTCCTGACAGAAGCTGAATTTTGGGCAGCACGGTAGGTTAACTGCACATTTAGGCCTGTGTTTTCTCCTGTGGAGACTTATTTTGGAATGAATATTGAAATCTTCCTCTGCACCAATTGCAGAAGTTGCTGGATAGAGAGGCCAACAAAAGGACAAAACAGCGACTAGGTTTTAAAAGTGCAATGATTTCTGACATCAGACCATCAACTGATGGTCGGGTACAACCTTTCTCTTTCTCTTGCACTCTTATTTACCCATGCTTACATCTTTCCCCATCCCATTTGTCTATGTCTTCACCCACAGAATTGAATACCACATATTAGTTTATTTAATGTCCTTTTCTGATTAAGTTGGCTACAAAAAGTTTATATGACTTTTGTTCTGTTTTTCGTGCAGACAAACAAAGTCACATTTAATTTGACTCCAGAGAACATTCTTCAAGTATGGCATATTTTCTTTTTCTTTCTTTCATTTTATATAGTTAGTGCCAAAAACCTATTTAAACTTATCTTGTTTCATAATTTTTATTTCTACTATATGTGCAAATGTGAAATACTAGTTTTAAGCATTAGTCTTTGGCTGTCAGACTGGCATAACTGATGCTCAATGATTTGTGACAGATTTTTTCTGAGAAGCCAGCTGTTCTCCATGCATTCTTAAGTTATGTTCCTAACAAGGTACTTGGGGCATTGAAACAATTTTGTTCTTCTGGCAGTTGGCCTGTCAATGATGATCTTATTATATTGTCTCTTTGAAGATGACTATTAAGTGATGGTTCATTTGGCATGCTTCTATATATCCTACCATTTTTTTTCTTTTTATTTTTTAATTATAGATGTCAGAAAGGGATTTCTGGACCAAATATTTTAGAGCAGAATACCTACATGGTACAAAAAATAGTATTGCTGCTGCAGCAGAGGCTGCTGAAGATGAGGAACTTGCTGTTTTTCTCAAGCAGGATGACATATTGGCAAGTGAGGCTCGGTGGAAGGTGCTCTTTCTTTGAAAATTAGATGCTTCTTTATTGGGATATCCTTAAATTGAAAGGATTCTACATTCTTTCCTGTGAATAATACTATGACTCATGATTGTCTTTACCTTTTTGTAGATGTGTTCTTTTTGCAGGTTAGGCGGGTTGACCCAACTCTGAACATGGAGGCTGATGAGGGGGATGATTATACACATCTTCCAGTATGTTGGATGCCATCACTTAAGTAAATTTATTCGTTTTGTTGCTGCTTTTTGGAGGTTTGCCTTTGGATAATTAGAAGATAAAATTGAATCTTTTTGGATTAAATTTAAGTTTTACCCTTGGCTCATATATATTTTTTCTGTCTGTTTGTTGTGGATGAGTTCCATAGTCTCAACTATAGGCAAATTATCTAATTTTAATTGTCATTTTCTCAGTTTTCCTTTTTTTTCCCCTTGTGCATCATATCTGTTTATGTTTCTTAATTTTCAGGATCGTGGAATCTTTCGTGATGGTAGTAAGGAAATGACTGAATCACAAAATGAGCTATACCGAAGAACTCTATCCCAAGACTTCAACCGGCATGCTGCAGTTGTTCTTGAGGGAAGAGCTGTAGGTAAAGGCTTCCCCTTAAATTTATGTTATCTACCACTATGCAATTTAGTTTTTTTTTTTTCTTCTTTCTTATATATTTATTTAATTAGTTATGGCTTGTTTTCTGGGAACATGGTGTACATTTTTCATTTCTTAAAACATATGTCTCATTAAATTGCACCTGTTCTATGAATTTGAATTTAGATGTGGAGTTGGAAGACACAAGGGCTGTAGCAGAAGCGCTTGCTAGGTCAAAACAGGGTAAGCATGGTTTTATTCTAATTCAATTAACCACTTTGGTTTTATGCTGTATAATTTATGTTCTATCTTTGTATCAGAATTATCAACTAAGGGAGAATCTGATGGGGATGCAAGCTGGGAGAGGTTAGATAGGGTATCAAGGATGACTGAAATAGAAGATCTTCAGGGACCAAATAATCTTCCACTAGCACCACTTTGCATTAAGGTGATTTTCTTGTGATCATGTGGTTTTAGTATATCATTTTTCTGTAGATGTTCTATTTGTTTGTGCCCAAAACCAGGATCCTCGAGACTATTTTGACTCTCAACAAGCGAATGCACTTAGAACTTCTGGAGATGCATTTGGTGGAATGGAACAAATAAAATGCAGTTTGAGCACCCAGGAGGTGTATGGTTCCTTGAGAGAGTCCATCTCTCAAATCAAGGCTACGGGGTTGAAGGATCCTATAGTCAAGCCCGAAGTTGCTCATCAACTAACAACAACTTCTTCATGGTGCTTGTTAATATTCTGGCCCATAATGGAAAGTGGTGGAGTAATAACTAACAGTGAAACTTTATGATGCAGGTTTTTGATGCTTTGACCAATAGTATCTCAACCACCAAATATCATATCGGGAAAAATCCTCACGAGAGTGTTCTGGACAGATTGCCGAAGAAAACTAAAGAGGAACTATTGCATGTGAGATTTCTTTGTTAGTTTAATTGATACAGCCACTTTTTATACTGTGGAAATCAGGAACCATTGCTTACTCGATAATTGCTTGAGCATTATCTGTTCTGCCTTAACCCTTAAGGCTGTATAATTTTATTTAAACTTTATTTTTACTTAATTAGATAATTTTATTTACAGTTTTGGTTTGTGTCCTGCAATATTTTGCTTATAAAAAACTCTCAATGTTGCCAGCATTGGACATCAATCCTTGAACTGCTTAAACATTTTTGGGCATCATATCCTATCACCACAACTTACCTCTATACCAAGGTAAATGCTGCAGCTGTATTTGCATGTTTAAGTTATCAAAAACTAAGAACTGGTAGAAATATGCCATTAATTGAAGGTTGGTAATGTTTCCTGTCAATGGATGAAGATTCAAGTTTTAAACAAATTTTCAAAATGTTTTTGTAGTCCTCGCCTCCTTCCCTCCATCCTGCATTTAATCATCCAACACACCCACACAAAGTCACAAAGAAAGAAAGAGTTGTGTTAGAAAGAAACTTTTTTATTCAAACTAGAAACAAAACCGTTTTTAAGGAGTATTTTACAAGGGAAAACTATGTATTCAGTTGTTAGGAACATTTTCATGGAAGCAAATGATGGCTAAAATGAGAATATGAAGGCATTGCATTCTAAGGTAGCATTCTTAAAAATAAATTTATAGAATTTTTTATTTTTTAGAATTTATCATTCCAAATTGTTGTTCATTTAGTAACTGTATACAGGTAAACAGACTGAAGGATGCCATGTCAAATATCTATCCACAGCTAGAGGTAACTTTCTTCTTCGCTTCGCGCTTGTTTATGTCTATAGCTAATAACAGTATAGTCCTTGTAGTTCTGAATTGATGCTATTATTTTTTTAATTAGCATTTTGTAGGCTAAAAACTCAAGTTAAGATCTAATCTTTGGGGGGATTCTTAAATAAGGATCAAAAGGTTTATTTGGTTCAAATTAGGATCAAATGTTTTTGAGTTGTAACAAATAAGGATAATTTTGGATGGAATGAATTGTGTGCATAACTCGTACTGTTAAAAAAGCCTGAAACATTGAAATTACTTATGATGTGTCAACTTTTTCCCAAATGGCTTCAGGCTTTAAACGTTCTATTAACCACCACCGTTAAAAAGCCAATGAACTATGTGCATGACATGTTAACCACCAAAATCACATTCATGATTCTTCATCCTAATTATCACAATCTGACAATTGCTAAACAAACCCAAATTTCTTTGGCCAAAAAAAAACCCCCAAATTTGTATATTCTGCCACCGGCATTTTTGAAGTTGTTGGGTTGATGTCACTTCCTTGAAACCATGACCATCCAACACCGCTGCTATCTTTCTTGTCTCAAGCTTCCTTTGCATAACTCAACCCTTACCTTGCCTATAATGACCTGATCTCTGATTCCTTTTTCAAGTTCCTCCATTTTCACCTTTATAAAAAATGTAATGGAAGCTGACAAAACCTAGTGACAGTGGTGTGAGGGGGCTTTGGATCTAAATATCAGGGCTTTCTTTGTCTTTGATATAGGAGGATTGATGGGTTTTAGAATGGATTGGATATGGAAGTAGATTTAATGATAAAAATTTGGAATGTGTTTCTATGTTTAAAGGAATTAAAGAAAAGAAAGAGATTTAGAGGAAGGAGAAAAAATAAAATTTCTTTGCCTCATTCAATAATTTTTATTTTGAAACATTTTATTTAATTTTCTTAGATTCGATTTCAACCCTAAATATAAGATGATAAAAGATAACGAAAAAGGTCAGATTTTATTGTAAGAAAAAATTGAATTTCCTCTCTTTTTGATAAAAAAAATGAAAAGTTCTTTAGATTTAATTTAATTTATTTTTAAATTACACATATGGCCAACTATCATGCCACATGAGTAGAAACCTGACACATCTGCAATCAGGCTTTTTAACAGCTCGTATTATTCATGCAGTTCATACCATCCAACTAAATCGTTTGGTCCTGATTTCTGCCAAATAAAACGCATGATCATCATTGAGAATTACCCCAAAGGATAGATTCTAAATTGAACATTTAGGCCATTTTGTAAGCTCAGTTCTGTTTGAATTTTGCTATTTCTACAGTTATGTTGTCTAATTAACCACCAGTGCCCGTCTTATCCTCTCATTTCCTTTATCTTCTTGGCTTCAGTGATGCCAAAGCATCATCTGTTTGGATGATTGGTCAAAGATGCTTTAGCTTTACCAGTTTAGCAGTATCATTTCTAACCCTGCCATAAAATTCCAGGAGATTAAGGGATCTGTCCCATCAGACCTTCGACATCAGGTTTCCCTCCTTGTTCGTCCAATGCATCAGGTGAGAACTTTTCTTAATTCTTAGTTCAAGTGAAAGGTCATGTACCAAAAAATGAAAGGGAGATTGGAGAGGAAATATAAGAATTAAAAAGCTAGACAGTAGTTTGACATGTTCTCGTGAAATTGGGTTTCGAAAATTATACTATCTGCTTGGGTGTTTTCCCATGTGTTGGCTTTGGGCTTTAATTGAAACTTGGACATGGTTCATTCTTGTTCATAATAAATAAAAGAGAAAGATCTTCCATCGGCCTCATGGGCAGATGGTAATAACAGCACATGCAGGTGCAGTGACAACTCACGTCCTATGGCATGAAATTAACTCCAATATATCCGGTTGGAAGCCAGTGGGCAATGTCTATTATGGCATTATTGGTCGAAGTTGGTTTTATTAGGTTTAGTTATTTTCTGAACTTCACTCTTGTCGAATGTCAGGCTGTAGATGCTGCTATTCAACATTATGAAGCAGACATGCAGAAGAGATCCACACGGAGAGAGACCAAATGGATTCGTCTAGGAGGAACTATACCGTTGTTATATGCCTGCCTCATTCTAACATACACCCTGTACATTAGATCAATTTTGCTGTGGAGGGGATCTTATTTTTGTCCCATTGATGTCAAAACAACTTCGCACTTGCAAATGCAACATTTTTCTGAAATCATTAGAGGCGAGGAGCCGTGTGCACCCCTGATCTGTTAAATGCTCTTGTCAATGCATTTGATTTTGCTCTTCTGGTGTTTGTTTCCCATAAAAGAAATTGTATTGCAACATTTATGTAATTATCGTTTAGTATATTATATCTTGTCAACAAAATAGACAGCTATAAATGATCTTGTATGCTTTCAATGGAGCTTGATTGAGCTAATTTTATTTTTGGTATTCATGATGTGTTTATTTGTCAATGAATTCATGTTATGATTGTTTTGTATAAAACAAGAAAATTATCTTGTTGGCACGGAAAGCATAAAAAACATTTTTGATTTGTTAAATTCATACGTAGTTTTTATCAAAATTTTAAATTGTATAATTTCTGTGAGTGTGTGAAAATTTTTTTTTGTTTGTTTTTTTTGTTTGTTTCCTGTTACATTTAAAATTTTTTTGTCTAATTGAAGTGTTTTAAGTGCTTGACCTTTTTGGAGTTTGACTTGGAATGGTAAATTTTTTTTTTTTTTGAAAAAGAAAAAGGGAAACTGTATTCTGTATTTGACTAAATTAATTTATGTTTTTATAAATGAACGAATTTTCATAAGATGATTAAAGAATAAAGAAACTATCCAAAAAAGAAAGAAAGTAATGAAAATAGAAAACAGATAAAGTTTATAAAGTCCATTAAAAATATATTTGATTAATAAGAAAAAAATGAAAGGGATCCAATCGAAGGTTAGAATATAGTACGGGCATTAAAATCGAAGTTTACCCTTGTTATTGTCTATTTCTACAAAATATAAACAAATAAATATCGTGGTAGGAAAATTATGGTACATCTATTTTACCATATCCATCTCCTAGGAAAAAAAAAAAGAAAAAGAAACCAATAAAAAGTAAGGGAAATATTTGAAATCCCGAAAATACCCATTTCCCGAATAAAGGCCATCGAAAGACCTTGGCTTTCTTTCTTCTTCTCGACAACCGTCTGGTGATCTCTCTCTATCTCTTCTCCCTTTCTCTCCTCGTTTCTCTTCACTGTGATAAAATCAGTCAATAAAAATTAAACCAAAATAAAAAAGGAAAAATCTGTCTTCCTTTCTTTTTTCTCTTATTTTGATAAGCTTAAAAATTTTTACCTCTCAATTTCATAGCCATGACTATCATGACCCCTGCCCCCATCGATGTACTCTCTCTATCTCTATCTTTTTTTTATAAAATTTTTTAGGGTTCTTTTTCTTCAATTTTGATTTCTTTATGGATCCGACTTCTTCTGATTCAATTATATTTATTGATTTTTTCAGCAGCAAGAAGATGAGGAAATGCTCGTCCCGCATTCTGATTTGACCGACAATCACCAGCCCATGGAAGGTACTCTTTTTTTTTTTTCTTTTTAAGTAATTCTTTTGAGAAATTTACTTCTTTGAATCGCTTACTGTATGCAAGTTCGCAAATATTTCTGTTCTTTTTGGGGGTTTAATTTGATTATGATCCTTGTGATTTATGTCTTAATTGTTAGTTGTGGCGCAACCCGAGACTGGGAATACTGTGGAAAATCAACCAGTGGAGGATCCTTCTTCATCAAGATTCACTTGGAGGATTGATAACTTCTCCAGGTTAAACACTAGGAAGCATTATTCTGAAGTCTTTGTTGTCGGCGGTTATAAATGGTATATTTCTCATTCCCTTCTTGTTGATGGTACAATTGTTCTTTTTTTTTTTCCTTTTCTATTTTTGGTGATAGCAGTTGAGGATTGATACTTTTGGTTTGAATTACTTAGGCGAATACTGATATTTCCAAAGGGAAACAATGTGGATCATTTGTCTATGTATTTGGATGTTGCTGACTCAGCAAGTTTACCCTATGGGTGGAGTAGATATGCGCAGTTCAGTTTGGCGGTAGTTAATCAAATTCATAATAAATATTCCATCAGAAAAGGTATTACCCTTTTAGCAGACTGTCTATCCACAAACTGTTTAAGGTTTTTTTTTTTAATTTCTTTTTTTTCTTGGGTGTTATAAGTTATAACATCAATAAAGTTCGTTGCTGGGTTTAGATAGCTTGTAACGTAGTTGGGGAAAATGTTGATTTAGTCTTGTATAGGAAGTTGAATCAGTTTTGTTTTGTTGTAATCAATACAAGAACACCACTCATTGGTGATGTTGTTCCATAATGTCAAAGAGTTATGCTTTTGTTACCCTTTGGTGGGCAGTTTAATATGTACTTGATGCAATGAAAGGTAGGTCATCTCTGATTTCTTGTCAGATGGAAAGAAACATGACTACTTTTGGCTGATAATAAGATTTTTGAATTTTAGAAGATAATCTCAGCATTGTGTACTCGAATCTTGATCTTTGGTAAAATGCCCTTTTTTTCCTTGTGATTATAATACTCTCCTTGCATGTATAATTTCTGACTATGTTTAGTTCTTTTTTTTATTTTAAAATCTATAAGTAGCTGTCATCAACTCCTTGGCCTAGTGGCTAAGGAGCTCTCTGGAGGACATAGAGGTCTTGGTTTCAAACCAAGACTTCCTTCCCCCTACCCCATGGGTTATGCCCATCCTATGTACCAAAAAAAATCTGTAAGTGGTTCACTGGGTGTACGTGTTGGTAACATGTTATAGCCTTGCTTAATTTTCACAATTATTCTTTTGGTAACTTGGTGAGGAATTTATCATAACATTGGTTGGAATAATGTTGTTCTTATTAAATTTTCACTTATTTGACTTCAATTTTGCAGACACACAGCATCAGTTTAATTCACGAGAAAGTGATTGGGGTTTTACATCCTTTATGCCCCTTGGCGAGTTATATGATCCTTGCAGAGGGTATCTTGTGAATGACGCTTTGATCATTGAAGCAGAGGTTGTTGTCCGCAGAATTGTGGATTACTGGACATATGACTCAAAGAAGGAAACTGGTTATGTTGGACTTAAGAATCAAGGAGCAACATGTTACATGAACTCTCTGCTCCAAACTCTGTATCACATTCCTTACTTCAGGAAGGTAAGTACTGATGCTCCATATTTTGATGAACTGACATGTTTTTATTTTAGTATCGCTAATCCTTCAGATGTTACATTTCAGGCTGTGTATCATATGCCTACAACTGAGAATGATATGCCATCTGGAAGCATCCCTCTTGCTCTACAGAGTTTATTTTACAAACTCCAGTACAGTGACAGCAGTGTTGCAACAAAAGAGCTGACCAAATCTTTTGGATGGGACACATATGATTCTTTCATGCAGCATGATGTTCAAGAACTTAATAGGGTTCTGTGTGAAAAGCTTGAAGATAAAATGAAGGTGGAAAGCTTCAATGAATTTTCATTACGAGTTTATTCTAATATGAAGCCAAAGTCAAAATTTTGATTACTTCTGTTATGCCACCAGGGAACTGTTGTGGAGGGCACCATACAGCAGTTGTTTGAAGGGCACCATATGAACTATATTGAGTGCATTAATGTGGATTACAAATCTACAAGGAAGGAGTCATTTTATGGTATCTGTTTCTGAAACGACTGGTTGGGGTTTTATGAGTCTTGTTCACCTTGTGATGCGAATATATTTTTTGCTTATACCAGACCTACAGCTCGATGTTAAAGGCTGTCCTGATGTATATGCTTCTTTTGAAAAGTATGTTGAAGTTGAACGTCTTGAAGGTGATAATAAATATCATGCTGAACAATATGGATTGCAGGTAAGCTTCTATTGTATTTTTTGAAATGCAAATGTCTGACTTGATTCTTAATGATGTCCAAGATGGGCATGACTAAAGTTGATCTAGAATTTCATCAATCAAAATTTTCAAGCTTCTAAGAGAATACCGATAGGATGGTCTGTGCATACAGTACAAATCACTTGATCACTTGTATTTTGTCTTTAGGTAGACCATTGTTCATTAGTTAAAGAGCTGCATAAGAGGCTGCTATTTTGGCCAGCACTAACAAAATTTATGGCTGTTTGTGCTGTTGATGTAACAAAATGTCGTGTTTTGCTGTAGCTAGAACTGAATGGCTTTGGCAGTTTTCTTTTGACAGAGTGCATTATATCTGATTATTTGTTACATCTTTTCCCAGTTAAATGACTGCATTTTGAATTTTGGATGATGTTATTTCAGGATGCAAAGAAGGGTGTGTTGTTCATTGACTTCCCTCCGGTCCTTCAACTTCAGCTTAAACGATTTGAATATGATTTTATGCGGGACACTATGGTCAAGGTCAGCAGTTATAATATCTTAGCTTTATGTGGTTCTTTTTAATCTATGCGGCATGTACAGTCCAGGGCCTCATTGTTAGTGCTTAATAAATTTCAATCATTTCCTTTTTATAGAAGCATAGAAACCATTAGTTCTATGTTGTTTTAACTTTAACCATACTCAACTGATTGTTGTGAATAATAATCAATATCTTGAGCTCTAAAATTGTTTGTCATGTTCTGTGCTTCATAGACTTCCATAGTCTCTCTTCATTTTGTTTAGGAAATAGGTATGTGATAACTAGTTTGCTCCTTTTTTTTAAAATACTGTGGGTGCTATTTATTCATACTGAAAGTAGGCACCATCATGACAGCTAGATTTCTCATTCAACATATAATGACATTCCTGATCTCAATGAGAAATTGTTCCAAGTTCTGTCGTCTGACGAACATCAGTTTTTTGTCTGGATATTCGTATTAGATGATTCTCGTGCATACTTTTATTGATTTGTGTGGACAATCGTTAAGTGTTTTGTCTTTATCCTGGATTCAAATGGTGAAATCTAATACTTTCCGCTCATTTTGTAGATTAATGACCGCTATGAATTCCCTTTGCAACTTGACCTTGACCGAGATGATGGAAAATACTTATCACCAGAATCTGATAGGAGTGTTCGCAATCTTTACACGCTTCACAGGTACCTATAACCTTAAGCATTATCCTGTCTCAGTTGTGTTCTTTCCTTTCCATGTGCTGGCAATCCATAGCTAGAATAGGTCGCACTTGATGGATAGTTGAAGGTTAATCAAATTCAGATATGCCTTCCCATTTTCTTTTATTTTTTTATTTTTTTTAATGATCTTTATGGTGGGAATACTTTCTAGATGTATCTTTAACTTCTTTCATTAGTAATACAACAACGAAGTGAACCTTTTAAACCAACAACTCATGAGGATTAAATGCTATAATGATTACAATTTTTATTGTTAGAATCTTGTACAGGCTTCATTGTAAGAAAAATTGTGTACTTTGATTACTTTTTAGGACGCATTTGGTAGAAATGGATATTTTCTGACATTATGGCAATGGTAGGAATTGGGGTGAGGATTGGAAATCAATTAGGGTTTGATTTAGTTGAGATTTAATCTGAAAGAGGGCTGGAAGGTGGAAGGTCATGGAAGTGTTCCTAGAATTTTCTTTTAGCATTAAAATTTGAAAAGAGCAAATTATAGCTGCTGTTTGAATAGCAAGAGAAAAGAAGGACAAGAATTATTATTACTAAATCACAACATTCTCAAAGAACACAAAATGATTCATATCCTTAATGAAATTCAACGCTGCTTAGTTTGGTCAATATAAACAGTATAGATAGGCAAATACTTATTTTTTCCACTTGGATTAGGGTTCTTTGAGCGATTAGACTAAGTAACAAAACCCAACTAATATAACTAAAGACTGCTTTAAAGCCCTAATAACTAAACTAAATGCAAAATTAATGGACAGTAACTTAAGGTCCAATCCTACGTAACAGATAATTAGCAATATTCCTCTGGACACCAAAAATTTAAGGTTGAAAAATTACTTTTCTAATGTCATATTAACTATCTAGGAGATCTTGGATCAACATAGTTTTCTTTTTTAATGAAGAATCCATTCCAAAGAGGATGATAGAATAGAATCAAGCCATTGTGTGCTAACATTTTTATATTTCGAATAGAGGCATCTTATGTTCCTGACATAGAGGCAAGAGAAATGCTGATTGTTACATTTCCGTCAACTGTTCTCAACAATTGGACTTGGTTATTTTTACAATTGCCTACTTTATGATGGTGAGGAAAAATAAATGACAAGTTTAGAAACAAACCTTGTACTTGGGTTTCCTAATGATACTAAGAAAGATGGTATATACATACCAGTTGAAGTTGTGCTGATGCACAGTTTTTATGGACAGGACATGCTACTTAATGGTTCTTTGATGCTTATAATAATGTCTGGTGCTTACATGTTTGAGTTTGTTTGTAGTGTCCTTGTTCACAGTGGTGGAGTGCATGGTGGACATTATTATGCATTTATCAGGCCGACTCTTTCTGATCAATGGTATGGATCATCCTGTGAACTATCTCAATGGGATGTGTTTGTATAGGTGTTCATGGATAGTTTTTAAGCTTTTCTTAGCAGAGATTTCACTTTTTGAAGCTTTTGAAATGACTACAAATGTCCATGTGGCCTTGATGGGCAGAGTCTACATTTGGCCATTTTTTAATGATGTTTCTAGGTCTTTTTTGCGGACAACAATTGACAGATCTGGTGTTGGCAGTAAAACATTCTAGTGTGAATCACTTAGAAGTTTTATCAAGTTGCTTCAGTCAAATTGATTCTTAAAGTTTCTCCTGAGAAAAAAGATATGTGAAAATAGTTATTTAATTAATTATTGGTGAAAAAAGAATGGAATGTTAAATTCTTAGGCTGCTGCATGATTATTAAATTAGCCAATGCTGATTGTATGTAAGGTACTGTGTTTACAGCTTCCATATGCAAGCTATGTGTGGGAGTTTGGAGTGGTTAAGTATTACTTCTTTCACAGAGTTACATATTCAAATTGTGTGCTTCTCAGGTACAAATTTGATGATGAAAGAGTGACCAAAGAAGATATGAAAAGGGCATTAGAGGAGCAATATGGTGGTGAAGAAGAGGTACTGTTTTTTGAGCACTTTCTTTTTTAGGATTTTTTTTTTTTTGTATTCAGCTTTTCTGCTTTTGACTTTATGTATCTTCAGGATTATGATTTTAACAAATTTTCCTTATGATTTGACAGTTACCACAGATGAATCCGGGATTCAATAATACTCCTTTCAAATTTACCAAATATTCAAATGCATACATGCTGGTGTATATCCGTGAAAGTGACAAAGACAAGATAATATGTAATGTTGATGAGAAGGATATCGCTGAACATCTTAGGGTAAGATGCTATTGTTAATATATTTAGAGCTGCAAATAAGGTGAGTCAAAAAATGTGGTAGGCGGGGAGCTAGGCTTGAAAAATTAAGAAGCTCCTAATTAGAATTGAGCTAGGGTTTATCGCACCAATGATACTAAAGGACATTGAGTAAACTGATTTCAAGTAGTTTGTCAACTAGGAGTAGATCACTGTATTGAATAGAATGGTATTTTCTCAAGCTTGGTTTGAAGAAATCAACAAGCTTCAATTTTATTGTATCTTGGGTTGCTTTATCAAGAGCAATCACAAATGAGCCTCTTACCAAGCTGATTTCAAGCTGAGTTTTGAGTAGTATATTTTGTCTTAAGAGTTACACTTGTATCTCACTTTCATTATTTCAGATCCCTTCCGCACTATCTAATATAAAACATTTTTTATAATTTTTCGCAGGAGAGGTTGAAGAAAGAACAAGAAGAAAAGGAGCATAAAAAGAAAGAGAAGGCAGAGGCACACCTTTACACTATTATAAAGGTTGTTGTTTGAGTCATTAATTTAGTGACTTGTTTGAGCATTATTAAGTGTATTTTCTTACAGCTATATGATTGTTCTAGGTTGCACAAGATGATGATCTTGCTGAGCAGATTGGGAAGGATATATATTTTGATCTTGTGAATCATGATAAAGTAAGGAGTTTCCGTATTCAGAAGCAGATGACTTTCAATGTGTTTAAGGTATGGCAAATAGACAAAAATGTTTTCCTTTCCTGTGTTAATTGGCGCTTATGGTTATAGTATTTTGGTGGGATTATTTGTTTCTTCACCAAATTGGTACACTTTTTCCTGTCTTCCTCTTGATTACAACCTTTTTGATGGTTTTTCATTAATTATTTCAAGTCGAAAGTTATGTGAAATCTCTAAGTTATACCCTTCGTCTTCTCTTCTTCTCTACGATGAATTGCTGTTGTATTTGGTGGTTCATGTTCGTTTTTGGCAATTTCTTCATGATTTTGTTCATGATTTACCATTTTGGTACATGCAGGAAGAGATTGCTAAAGAGTTTGGCATACCAGTGCAATTTCAGCGTTTCTGGTTGTGGGCCAAGCGTCAAAACCATACATACCGTCCAAATCGACCATTGACACCTTTGGAGGAAACACAATCTGTAATATTCCTCACCATCAATTCTTATAGACCATGGTTCAAAAGTCTTGTTTCAGTAGTATTTGTGTATAGTTTTAGCTTCAGTTCTTGTTCAGCATAGTTTTGGCTTTAACTGGCTGTCTTCATTCATCCTGCTAGCCTTTGCATGCATATTGTTGCAACTTGCATGCCTCTCTCTCTTCCTCTGTGTTGAATGAATATATACATATTTTTATATTTATATATCAGTAAGTTTTGTTTAAAAGAAATACAAAAAAATCTAGGAAAATGTGCTGAAGTTATCTTTTTTTTTTTTCTTTTTGTTTGATAAGGATCTAATGCTAATTGTGTCTTCCCTCACTGTAGGTTGGAACATTGAGGGAGGTATCAAATAAGGTTCACAATGCAGAACTAAAGTTGTTCCTGGAAGTTGAGCTTGGGCTGGTAATCTGGTTTTCTTTTTCTCAAGCAGCATCTTTCTTCTTTGATGCTTAAAACTTTCTGTCTGGTGATGGTATTGATCTCATTCAGGATTTTCATTCTCACCTCTCCAAAACTAAAATTAATAGATGCAAAAAGATAGGTCTAATTTGGGATCCCAAAACTTTCGAGTGCAAAAAGTTGGCTCTTGTGAGAATAGAAAGAAATAGAAGTTAGGCATCAGACTGTGAGGTTTTGAGCTTCACACTTGAAAGTAGAATTACCCTTGACAATACATGTTAATAAGATTTGAAACTGACTGCATTTTACTAAATTCCTTAGGCAAGTCCTAGTTATGAATCTTACCAAAGCCATATGAGCTTTTGTTCTAGCTTTGTTCCTTTTCCTCTTGATGAGTTTTGGGTCTTCTTGTATTTGCATCACGATCTTAAACATTATTGTTCAGGATTTACGCCCAATTGCTCCACCAGATAAGACAAAGGAAGATATTTTACTGTTCTTCAAGCACTATGATCCTGAGAAAGAAGAGCTTCGGTAAGTTGTCTCATGTTGTGTGTTTCCCCCTGTTTTCTGAGAAATTATTTGAAATCTTATATGGGGTTATCATTCTGTTGTATCAGCTTTGTTGGAAGGCTGTTTGTGAAAAGTGCAGGCAAGCCAATAGAAATTTTGTCCAAATTAAACAAAATGGCAGGGTATGCTCCTGATGAAGAGATCGATCTTTATGAGGTTTGCTTCCAGTAATATCCTTTCACAGTAGTGCGATTTCAGTTCTCAGTAAACTCTTGCCAGTAATTTCCCTTTCTTTTGCATGCATTTGAGGAGAGATAGTTGTCTGCAGAGGGTTTTTTACTCTTTCTCCTTTTGTTGTTTCAGATAATTGTACTAGTTATGCTGGTAGATGAAACTACTATATGGTCTAGATGTGACTTTTTTTTCCTTTACGATGGTTTTAGTTGGGGTTAATCAGGCTAGTTCTAAACTGTTTTTACTTGAACTGTTGATAGTTAACTTGTTTAATAGTACTCTGTATAACAGTATTTTTGTAGGTTTGACTATGAAATGGTTATTATTTGCCGTCTGTTTAATTTGTCCAAACATTTATGTTGGCATTCCTATGAGGTATAATACCTTGATTCTGCTTTAATGTCCAGGAAATTAAGTTTGAGCCCAGTGTTATGTGTGAACCAATTGACAAGAAAATCATATTCCGAGCTAGCCAGGTATGCATTGTATTTCTTGGAATAATTACTTGTTTTTGTCTTCTTTTAAGTCTTTTATTTATCTATCATTTTCACTGCAGCTTGAGGATGGTGACATAGTTTGCTTTCAAAAGTCTCTCCCTGTTGAAAGTACTGAACAATACCGCTATCCAGATGTTCCTTCATTTTTGGAATATGTGCATAATCGTCAGGTACATTCTCTCCATCCATTATATCTATAGTTTTCTTGTCAGTGAGTTTATTCTATTTTTTTCATTGCTTTTTCATCTCAAGTCTTGATGGATGAGAAGTGTGAAGGTTGACCTGTCTGTCTTATTGCTGCTTTTTATATGATTGCCTTCCTAATATTCTGCTTGCAATGAATGATTTGATGTAGGTAGATTGCTCTTGCTTCTTTTTGGTCCAATCTGATACCTGGGTTCTGAGTTTCTGGAAATGTTTGGACCCATAAAATAAGGGTAGATTTTCGCTCATGAGATTCAGGGGCTACAGTGCAATTTATTGCGCACTTCTTTTTCTCCTTCAATGATTAGTTAGATAAGATGGAGATTATTGATATGTTTCTTTAGGCACATTTCATGAATTCCATGATCAGTTTCTGATCTACCATTTTAGGATAGTGGTTAAATATACTAAAGTATGATAAACATTGCAGATAGATTAAAGCAAAAGTGAATTAACTTTTTAATGGTGTTGGCATAAGTTGCGTTGTCTCAATATGCCTTGCATTTTGATTGATGAGATCATGAAATTTAAAAGTATTAATAAGAGAGTTTGGTCCCAGAAAACACCATCTATTTCTATGTTCATTTTCCTAATTTGGAAACAATTCTTTCTACTATTTGAAAAATACATTTGGTGAATGAAAATAGTAAAAACACATTTGTTATCTGTATTTTCTATTTAAAGCAAACTATAAAAATTATCTATAAAAATGTAATTAATTTCGATATGTTTATGTTAAACATAAAAGTGCACGGTATTACTATACAAAAACTGCTAATAGAAATCTCACCTGTTTGGTTGAATGATGAATGTATCTCTTTTTCATTTTTATGTCTTTATTATCCCTTTTATTAATCTTCACTCCACCCAAAATTGAAAAATCATTATAATCCTTGCCAACTACATGGTACCCTTTTTTAAGTATAAATAAGGTATATGGTTCTATTTTGCAAGTAATAATGATACAGCTTTTACCCTTTTAGTCTTTAAACTATTTTAGCTCACTTTTAAATGATATCCATGCCTTTGCATGTTTGGCCGTTTGCCTATCTATGAGGACATGTTTTTAAAAGCACATTGTCATTAAATTAGGTTCTGTCTGTTTGGTTAAGTGCTTCTGATTTTTTACAGCATTTGAGTCTCTATCATGAATTGGTTCTGTGGATTGATACTGGTATCAATGCTTTCATTACAAGTTTTTTTTTAAAATTTTAATTTTACTTGACAGCACTGAAACAATCTTTTCTATTTTCTATTTTGTTTTAAAAATGAAAGGAGAAAACATGCATATTCTTCTTACTTTGTTGGTTTGAATAAATTTTTTTATTGATTTATCTATTAAAAAGGAGCTTAATTATGATTTTAGTAAATAAATTGGAGTCATCTTAATTGAATTTAGTATGTGTTCTTAATCCTCGATGAAACATGTGATTCTTAGACTGGAATCTTCTACAATATTTCTATGTAGCATTTTTAATAATCATAAGAATTATGTAACCAAAAGGATTCTTTTAGGATGTGTGGTGTTCCTTTCATTTGATTTATCATCTCTTTAAGGGTAACAGTCAACTGGTCAAATTCCCTTTGCACTGATGTTTTGATTGGAAAAATGTTGTCTTAGTATTACATTGGTTTTGGAATGTAAGCCTTCAGTCATGTCTGCTCTAATAAGCTTTTTTGCTTCATAGGCTAAATAAATTTTTTTTTTATTTCTTTATGGTAGGTTGTGCACTTTCGGTCTTTGGAAAAACCCAAGGAAGATGATTTTTGTTTGGAGATGTAAGTTCAAATTTTAGTTGAAGTTGCCTTCCTTTACTTTTGCTATTGTCATATCTTTATTAACTAGCTGGTAAATAGTAATTCATTGTGTTGTATTTTGTGCTATTTTTTTATAAGAATCTGAATATCAAAGCTTTTTCCCCCTTTTCTCTCTTGTATGTTTAGGTCGAGGCTTTATGCTTATGATGATGTTGTTGAAAGAGTAGCTCAGAACCTTGGTTTGGATGATCCATCAAAAATCAGGCTAACTTCGCACAACTGTTACTCTCAGCAACCCAAACCTCAGCCTATTAAGTACCGTGGAGTGGATCATTTGTCTGACATGCTGGTCCACTACAATCAGGTAATAATTAAATGGCCTTAGTATGCACATTGAGAAGCCAAAAGGATGAAAGGTCTAAAAGCTAACCAACCAGTTGAACTTTGTTTCTTTGGCAGACTTCTGATATTTTGTACTATGAAGTATTAGACATACCTCTGCCAGAATTACAATGTTTGAAAACCCTGAAGGTAGCATTTCATCATGCTATTAAGGATGAAGTGAGTATGTGGATCATATGTAAGAGTTTCAGTGAATGTTAATATTCTGTTTAAATGCAATAAAATTCAGTTCTATCTGATGACAGGTTGTTATCCATACTATTAGGCTTCCAAAACAGAGCACTGTGGGTGATGTGATTAATGATCTTAAGACAAGGGTAGGTTTTCTTTCATTTCATGGGTTAATGATCATGTTGAGGGCATGTATGGTTTGGTGGATCATTTCTTAATAGAGAGTAAAGTTTGTGAATCATTATTTTGAAACAGGTGGAGTTGTCTCATCCTGATGCAGAACTGAGGTTGCTTGAAGTTTTCTATCACAAGATCTACAAGGTGTGAACGCCATCTTTTCATGGTTACTTTTTGCTCATCTCAGTGTTTACCGAAAATGTGAAATGTGCAAAATAAACTTTTTTACATGTTTATTTGATTTGATTTGATCTGGATGCCTAGTTGATGTATTATCAAATATCATAGTTCTTTCATAATCCTCTAATGGCTTCAGGTTCTTATCAGTTTAAAACTTGAAAAATTGCTTGTTGAAAAGACAGTTTCATTGTTTAGTTTATTGAATTGCTTATGCCCTTTATATGTCTTATTTTTCACACTTCCTTGATTACTAATTTGGGCTTCCTTTGTCACCTGTTGTTCGTTTTTCCTTCCCTTTGGTTTCATAATGTCGTATGTTTCTATCATGTGTCTGCAGATTTTCCCACTTAGTGAGAAGATTGAAAATATAAATGACCAATACTGGACACTACGGGCAGAAGAGGTCAGTTGCTCCTTCGCTCACCCCCTCATTCCCCATTCCCCCTTTCCCTATCCTCCCTCTTCTCTCTCTGCCTTGCTCATCCGGGCATGCACTCACATCCATAGAAATGTAAGAAATGCTCTTGGTGCTGTCTCCATCCTGCTGTGATCTAAAGAATCATTTTTTTCCTTATATTTTGTTGGTTTCTTTTTCCAATATAATTTTTTAGCTACTAGCTTTCTTTTAAGTTATGGATTGCTGGTTTTGATATTTTTTTTCTTCAACGCTACAGATCCCAGAAGAAGAGAAAAATCTTGGTCCAAATGATCGCCTAATTCATGTTTACCACTTTACTAAGGAGACAGCTCAGAACCAAATGGTAACAAGCTCGATATAGTTTCACATTATCTTATTTTCTGTTGCCTTTTAGCTATGCCGAGATTGTTTTCTGATCACTATTATGTTTTCCTGACCACTTTAATTACCTCTTGTTTTGACAGCAAATTCTGAATTTTGGAGAACCCTTTTTCTTGGTTATTCGTGAAGGTGAGACATTGGCTGAAATAAAAGTTCGAATACAGAAGAAGCTGCAAGTTCCAGATGAGGAGTTTGCTAAGGTTTGTTTGCTCACAGATTTACACTAATTCTTCCTGTGTTTTCCTCTTCTTTTTCTGGCTGGGTAAATCAGTTATGGATTGATGCATGCTAGGAACTTCAATGGCTACATATTCTCTGTTATTTTTAAGTAGCCATTTTTCCTTTTCAAGTTTGTTTTTCTATTTCCTTACTTTCTTTCTTTTTTGTTAAATTTATTTGAAACCTATTTTTAAGTAGCCATTTTCCTTTTCAAATTTGTTTTGCTATTTCCTTACTTTCTTTCTTTTTTGTTAAATTTATTTGAAACCTATTTTTTTCAGTGGAAGTTTGCATTCCTCTCACTTGGCCGGCCAGAGTACCTTCTAGATTCTGATATTGTATCTTGTCGTTTTCAGGTGCGTGCATTAGTTTATGTATAGATATTTGGAATTTTTTTAGTTCTGTTTGGAGTTTACCCTAATTTTGCTCTTACTTATACTCAGAGACGAGATGTTTATGGTGCTTGGGAGCAGTACCTTGGATTGGAGCACTTTGACAATGCTCCGAAAAGAGCTCATGCAGCTAATCAGGTAAACATTTTATTAAAAATATTCGTTTCAGTTAATGAGACATCTGGGTAGCATTAGGAATAAGGATATTCTTTGGTTGAGTTTGCTTTTTCTCTGAGGCTATGATTTATCCATGAAAACGAATAGCCTTCAAGAAGCCAAGATAGTTGACTCTGCATTGATATCGTCATGGTTCTTTGCAGAACCGGCACACTTTTGAGAAGCCAGTTAAAATCTACAATTAGGGACCATTTTAAATTACCTCCCTTGATAACATTGCACAAAAGGGTGGCTCTCTACATGGATTATACGAGTGGGGAGAACACTTAAAGCAAATGAAAATGTGAGGCAACAAGTTAGCATTCAGATGGCATCTGCTGCGACATTTGCTTGTTTGATTTGTTGGATACGTGATTCTTTTGCTAGTGTGATATCTAATCAAGTGTCAATTATCGATCCACTGAGCTTCTGCTACTTCTGTCTTTGAATGGAGGTTGGCTCCGTCTGGAGTAATGGGGTAAGTTGCCTGTGTAATTTGACAGTACATAAACAAGATTTTGGATTAGTATAGAGAGTATAGTTGGGGAGGACGTTGTCATTTTCTCCCTCTTGTTTGTTTCCTGATTTTGTATGATGCATTTAGCAAAATGGGGGGCTGTGTAATGGTTGATTGCCATTCTTTTGATGCCTATGGCCTTATGTCTACATTCTCATATACGAAATTTGCCAGACTCTGCAATCCTAAACTTTTGCTATTTTGCTATTTTTGTTTCTCCCCGCATATTGCCTTCATTTCTTTTCAAAACTCTCAAAACTGGGATTCTTCTAATCTCAACAGCTAAGCACAAAGCTCACCCCCCCACCCCTCCCCCAACCCACCAAAAAAATCAGAGAAAAATAAAAATTAATATGAATTACAAGGTTGCTTTTTTACCATCTGCAAAACACTACTTGCATGATGTAATTTTAATAATCTATTCTCCTTCCCCCCCCCCCCCCCCCCCCCCCACCAATTGCAACACACTAAAATTATTAGACGAAGTATAAAATAATCGTAAAAAAATAATAATAAACATATAAAATAAAGTAATATCATCATTGAAAGTTTCGAGTTCGTGAGGATCTGTGCCTAACGCAGGCCCATCCTTTTCTGCGCTTATAGTATTACTGGCCAACTCGGCCCATTGTTCGTGAAAAGGTTCCTGGATTTGAGTCTTGAAAAGGGTCCTCGGAGGGCGCTGGTCTTCTCCGCCTCAATTACCGGTTGTAATTTGTAAAACGAAAAAAGAAAAAGAGAAAAAGATCAAATCAACGGTAAGATCTCTGGTGTGTATTTCGAGAGAGAGTATATAGCTTGGGGATTATTAATTTTAAAACTTTATTAATAACGGATTGTATTTTTGTGCGATTAAGCAATTGGAATCTTATGCTGATTTACTTTGTTTGAAAATTAGGTTTTCCAGCCACTTGAACCTTTTTTCTTAGAAAAAAATTTAACTGGATGGCACAAAGTTTTCTCTTCTGTTGTCCCCCCTTCTTTTGGCATTCTTAGCTGATGTTTTGATTCATTAGGAAATAATTCAACCTTTGAAAAACCATTAGTTCGGTAATTGATTTGGATTTAGGTCAAGTTCATCTTGGAGTGTCGTGTTTTTGGATTTGGGTTATTATATTGTTGATTTCTCATTAACTATTTACCTGTTTTTTTTTTTTTTTAATTTTTTAAATCTTTTCTATTTCTATTGTTTCTGTAGTTAATAGTATTAGAATGTGACTCTTATGCATTGCTTCGTTGCTGGAAACTTAAAATTTGTAATAGATGCTCACAGATTTCAGTATGAAGTTTCGATCTTTCAGATAGTTGGATAAGTGGATAGGGAACCCTTTCTACTAATTTGACTTCAACTTATTACTGTTTTATGGTAGAATTACTTGTGAACTTATAAGTCACGAGATTTTGATTGTGATTGCTGTCATGCTTTGTTAGGTTCAACATTGAAGCTGATTCCTAAGTAACAGTGATGAGACGGCAGGGTCAATATACCGACTCTGGTGGCAATACATATGTCTCTGCTCAAATGCAGCATATGCCCTCGCAGAGGATGGAACACAACTCTGGTCCTTTTCAAGGACAACTAGAAGCATTTACTCCTGAGAGGGATCAGCCTTATGAAACTCCAAAATCAGATGGACAGTGGAGATGGGAAAGAGATGGATCGAAAGTGTCAAATCCAATGGCAGCAAAAATGTTCAATGAAGGCAAAATCTTTTTCTTGGACATTCTCCCTCTCTCTGCATGTGTTTGTCTTAACTAGGGGTACCATACATCAATGTGCATGCTCGTTAATCTTGTTATCTGTTTGTTGTCTATTTTATAAAAATAAATAAAATTAAAAAAAATAAAAAAAAGATATAAAGAACCCATCATCGAGCTTAAATTATGAAAAAGGACATTCTAGTTGTAGTATCACTATTGGATATGGGTTATTGCGTGTGCACTTCTGCAATTTGTACTTTGGCATATTGTCTTAAATATCTTGTCAAGGATGCATTCTAAAATCGTAATTAGAATAGATCAAGAATATCTTTTTTATTTGTGTTTACTCCAAAACTGAGAGGTTACGCCTTGTTATATTTAGAAAGCGGTTCCAGTTTCTTTGCTTCTTGTTTTGATGTTTTTGCGTAGGTTTAGAATTGTGTGGTGTACTTCTGGTGAGTAGAGATATACATTTGAGTGCAACTCTGGCCAGTCTAATGGCCTGCTAACCATAGATAAAATTAAATGTTATGGTAGTTGCTTCATCTTCTCCTTGAGAAAAAGAGGTTTAGATCATACTTATTAAAATGAAAGATAATTTATCCCTTAAGATGTTAAAGCATTCATGTTTAATAGATAAATGTTTGTATTGTTCCTTTCACTAGTTTGCTTTCTGGTTTAGTGCATTTCTTTTCAAGAAGCATCCTGCAACGTTCTTGGACAAATTTTGCAAGTGTCTCAGAATGGGGAACTTGAGGTTTAATGTGTGCTTTTAGAGCCTGTAACCAGGTTATGTGACCTTTTGGAGTGTAGGTATTTGCTATTTCAGACTCATTGACTTGTAGTGTGTTGTCATTCTAATCTTTGCTTATGTTTCCTATACTGTGTGTTTCTCCTCCTAAATCATAGCCCTTTGTTTATTATTTTAATAAGCATTCTAAGTGAGTGAGAGGAAGAGCAGAAATTAATAAATAAAGCTAGGGAGTTCTTTAGTTCAGTTTGGGAGAGAATTGAACTTCTTGGAACTCTTTCATTTTAGTCCTAGCTTTCCGGACAAGTGCTGTGATTGATTGGGGTCATTTTAGTATGCTTCTCCAAGATCTCTCTATTTATATTCTCAAAGAAGTGGTAAAACAGACACGAGACTGAATGCCTTTGCTTCATTAGATACTAGGGCTTCTGTGAGATGGTTTAATTATAATGGTAAAATTAACTATGAATTGCTTCATCTTTATTTGTAAATGTTTGATGTCTCTTTTTTTCCTTTTTCATGCTTGAAAATAGCTTTTTAATTTACATATAAAATTTGTATTGGACCACTGTTCTTAGTGGAGATGTTTAATGTGACATAGGCCAAGGGACTGATGGATCAAGAACTTATTTCCAGGGCCAGAGGCCAGATCCCAACCTATCTTTAGAAAAGCAAAATGTTGATCTCAGATCTCAACCCTGTGAAGAAAATATGGAAGTTGGCTATGAGCAAAATCTTTTATCACAAACTTTGGAAGGTCTTGAGAAGAAATTCGTTGATGACATAATGAAGCTTGCCAAAGAACAGAATGATGCTGAGGATGCTGAAAATATTAGACATAGGGAGGTTAGTGTATAGTTCATTTTGCTTCATATTCTCAATATTAGCTGTTTCTATATCTTTGTGTTATTTGCATGATCGGTTTCTACCCAACAAGGGACTTCTTCCATAAAATTTTACCTGGTTTTTTCCTAAGCAAACAGAAGCAGAGTTCTAAAAGCTAAAGTTCTTCCCAGAATATTGTTGCATCCCAATGGTCTTGAGTCACTACTTTCTTCTTTGCCTGGGTCGTTATAGATATGAGAATATGAGACTTTATTGTCTGCACTTGCTGTTCAAGAATGTTGCATGGACTTGCATAGTGGTAATATTTTTTGTTTTTAAATTTCAGAAAATAAATGCAATCAATGCTCAGTATCAGGAACAGCTAGCAGCGCTTCGAGCTCGGCATGCTAATCGTAGGGATGAGTTCCTGCAACAAGAATCTCTTGTACGTCAACAACAATACCAGCAGGCCACAATGGACCATTATCCTCATAGCAGCATGGCTCCAGCCGATACGATGCTGACTGGTAATCCTCGTAGTTACAGTGGCGTTGCAGGTTCAGCTGCTGTTGGAGATGGCCATCGAGGCTATAACTCTAATAATTTTGACTCCTACAGAGAGAGGGCTCGATTTCTTGGGGGTGACAGAGATCAGGGTTTTGAACCTAGAGGTTCATACCCCGGGGGCCGTGTGTATGATACTGGTTCACGTTACTACTGAAATTGCTTAGATTAACTTTCCTTAGCCACATCCTCCAGGTATAGTTCTGATGATTAGCCCACATATATACTGACATGCTATCCCGAAGATTATGTTTTATTTTCTGCAGTTCTCTGCAACATGCTGGTATCTTGTTATGATTCATGTTTGAAAAAGCCAATATTCATTTTTCTCAGCTCATTTCTGTTATTAATATTATTAAGGTTATAGTTTTGAAAGTTTTAAGAATTATGGATCCCCATTCTCTTTCTTAAAACGGCTAAAAAGAGTTTTTTTTCTTTGTTGTTTGTTGTAAGAGGATAATTTTTTTTATGAATTCCATAAATTTGATGTAAATAAACTTGCTTGGATCAATGTAGAAAAAGGCTATGCTGGATGTTTTAAAAGTACACAAACCCCCTCTTTTTATGTTTCTGGCCGCTTCACTGTACAAAAACTGCAGATGAATCCTTATTCTGTTTTGTTTTGTTTTCTTCAATTTTTTTTCTCTGTTTCTACCTTCTTAGCCCGTTTCAAATATTGCATCAGTCTCTCCTCTCTTTCCTCACTAATGTTACTAATCTTAATTTTCGTTTTATCTACCAAACAATTAATCACTCTAATCTATCAATGCCATTATCAATCATTTGACATAAAAAAAATCATGCAAAGCTCTTTTTAAAATAAATTTTGACAATGAAAATTTTTAATTTTATAAACAAAATTAAAAAATTATCAAGTATTTTAATTTTAATTTTATTTTATTTTATTTTAAAAAGTATGTATCATCCTATTGATTTTTTTTTTTTGGAGTCTAAAAACTCCAAAATTTCTCTATAAAATAACATAACATATTCAATTTTGCTTTAAAAAAAGAGTAACATCCACAACTTTAAGGTTTATCAAATTAGTGCATGGAGCTATCTCACTATTGAAATACTTAATAACAAAAAAATTATGCCTTGGTTTCCTCACCTTATACCTGCAGTCCCAAAGACCCCGATACTAAGAAAAATTCAAGTATCAAGTACAAATTATTATATAAAAATTAAACAAATTTTTTTTGTCATACATTTATTTATACTAATGGAAAATGAGAATCAATTTTAAAGATTTATTATTATTCTTCAAAAATCTTTTCTTTTTTTTTTTGTCAACAACTCTTTCACAAGCTTGAAAAAAGCGAATAAACAATTATTTAAATTTGATTCTTATTTATGAAATTTAGTTAAGTGGTAAAGATTACACAAATAGTAAGCTTAATTTGCAATTTGCAAACTATTTCTCTTATAAAGGAATAACTTAAATAAAAAATTTTAAAAAAAATAATTAAATTTTGTGATTAAATTTGTTCATGAATTGAATAAAACGTAAATAAAATATTAATAACTTTTATATTTGCTCGAGCTGACCCAACTTGATAATACAAATCTTGTTTGCTGCTTAAATCCTACCTTAAACTTGTGTTTAGATTGAAAGGAGGTTAGAGAAAGCAAGGGAAACAAAAAAACATTTTCTTATTTGGTTTTCATTTTAAAATAAAAAATAAAATAAAAAAGAAGGAAAGGAGGCTGAACACCCATCCTTTTCAAAAGTCTCATTTTTTACTTCCTTTAAATTGGGGGAAAAAGCTAAAGAAAATAATAGAGTAAAAACTTGTTAAATATGAAATAACATATATATCCTTTATTATTTTCTTCAATTTTCAAAAAATATATTACAAGCTTTACAATAAATATTAATATATATATATATATATATATATTTATCAAACCCAACTCCATATCCTTACTTATTTTGCTTTTTTGTAATTTTCATCAACTTTTTATATTATTGTCTTCAAAATTTTTATAGACTTTTTTGTATGTTTTTTTTTTTTTTTAGCATATTTTCTTTATTTTGGTTTAGATAACTTATCATATCCACAAAGAAAAATAATCATATAAATTATTTTGAAATTAATGTTGGGTCTTAAATAATTTTTTATATTTTTTATTATTATTCATAAATTTGGAAAAAATAAAAAAAACATGTATACATTAAAAAATACGTACAATTGGCAAAATTATTCATATATTAATGAAGGTTGTTAAATTTATAAAAAATATATTAATACGAGTTTATAATTAATTTTATTTTGTTAAAACAAATTTAAATTCCTGAATTTTTTCATTGAAATTAATTCTGAAAAAAAATAGTTTTATAGAATTAATTTCAACCATACATTATTTTATAAATTAATAAAAATTAATCTCTTTTATTTAATTTTTTCTTTTTTTTAATTTGAACAAATAATTTTTAAATTATTCACATGAAAAATAAAATATTTAAGGGTATAATTGAAAAAATATTATTATGAATAATTTATTTTCCTTTTCACTTTTAAATAAACAATGTTTACTTTTTTTATTATTATTAATTTTAACTATCTAAACAAAATATACACATATCATTTTTCTTCCCTTTAAAAATTATATTTTTTTATTTTTTTTCTTACTCTCTATTCAAATACGATGTAAATAAAAATAAGATATTTAGACTCACACAAATTTCAAAATTTTCAACTAAAAACAAAACATTATCTAATAAATATTAACTATGACACACTAAGTAACTAACAAAACAAAACCTAAAAAATGGATTTGTTAATTTAATTTAATGTTTGGATAAAATTGAATAATGTAAGCATAAAATACTAATGTATATACATACATTATTTAATTAATTACTTATTTTCATATAACATAATTATAAATATAAAATATATGTCCTCAACTCTTTAATCTAGTGTCTGAATAGCTCTTAAAAGATCATAAAAATTTTGATTTCAAACAAAGACTTTCTTTCTTTGCCAATGAACTATACCTACCCTATGTACACTATATATAATATCAAACCAAACTAGGTATTGTTTTTAATCGAATTTTTAATTTAAGTTCGAATCAAAAAGTTCATTCGAAACAGATCTAAATCACGTCTAAAAGTTAATCTATTTTTGAATAATTCAAATCTAAATTCATTTAACAAATCTTTATTTTTATTCAAATTTTTTAAAATTTTAAACGAATTTTTAAATTCAAACGAATAAAACGGGAAAGTTCCCAGCATCGATTTTCTCCCCTTGTAACTTACGAACATTTGTCGCTTATTTTGTCCCAAAACTTTAATTTCCAAAATCAACCCCAAAACATGTAGTATTTAAAAATAAATAATTTATTAAAATATTTAATATATTATTTTCCCTCCTTGAATCCTCTTCGCCAGAAAAAAAGTGAACTCCACTTGTTTTGTTTGTTTGTTCGTTCTCTTTTAGCAAAATCTGGCATTGCTTTTTCCTCTCTCTTCTCTCAAAATTTTTAGAGAAAAGAAAAAAGTGATGACAACCATTTTCTTTGTTCGTTTTTAAGCTCTCTCTCTCTCTCTCTCCCTTTTTTCTCTCTCTTATTATTTTTTTCTTTCTCTTCCGAAAATGGTCGGTCTCCCTTCCGAGGGTTCCTCCGATTCCACTCACCGAGTCGACTCAGACAACAACAACGACCAGCGAGTTTACTTTGTCCCCTTCAGGTCAATTCCAAATATTTCACCAAATCTAAAATAACCCAACTTAAAATTTATCCAATCACAAAAAAAGAAAAAAAAAAATTTTTTTTTTGGAGTTGGGTTTAATGGAGTAGTCGATCTCGGTAATGTGATTTGAAATCTTAATAAACATTTAATTTTTATGCTGTTCTTTAACGGATAACTTTCTAAGTAACCATAAAGATAACATTTTCAATGTTTCAATTGGATTTAAAAAAAAAAATTGTAAGCATTTGCTTGGATTTTTTTAGAGAATAGGTCCTGAAGTGAGATATCAAAATTTTGAAATTTTCAGTGGTTTATTTTTAAAAATTTGATTTTTTTATATTTGATAATGTCTACATTGGTGAAGAGTTGATTCATATTTATTAATACATTTCTTTTAAAGGTGGTGGAAAGATGCACAGGATTCAACTTTAGGCGAATCTGATGCGAAGAGGGGGATTTTGTATACCGCAACACCAGGAACGTCGTATGGTTGTCCCATGAAGTTAATCAACAACATATTCAACTCGGATCTTGTTTTTAATTTAAGGAAGGAGGAGGATTCTCTGCACAACGGTAAAAATGGTGAGGTTGGTGTTTCAGGACGGGACTATGCATTGGTTCCTGGGGAAATCTGGTTGCAGGCTCTTAAATGGCAAGTGTTTTTATGATTGGTTTTTACTTGATCTGATCAGGCACTGGTTTCCTTGATTTTAAATAGTTTGAACTTTGACTAGTTAGTTCTACTTATCCCTTGTTCTTTGAATGCCTTTAGATTTCGTGCCAGGGTGCATTGCATTTAAGAGTTTATGCTATGGATGTTAATAGAATTTATGGGAGGGAAGAAGAAGTGATAAAATTTGTACGAGACAAGTGAATTTACGTGAAGTTTGATTTTGCTCCAATCGTCTGGATTAGATAAAGTGATAATTTTAGCATATTCTAGTTTTTGATCCAAGTCTAGCTTTGAAAAGAACCTTAATTTCTCTGTCAAAGTATACTTCCCGCATTATGTGAACTATTTTGTTCCAATTTGATATGGTTAGGAGTCTCCATTGCTCCTAGAAACAACAGCAGAATAAGTTCATGAAAAACTAGGTCAACAATTCTTGACATGGTATTATCCTACTTAAGGATCTTTGCACCACACCTTGATATATTTAAGTACAATTCCTGCTCTCAGTAACGTTTGTGGCACTATGTGGGACCTTTTAAAACGAATTTAGCTTAAGATCTGCTTTCTGAACTTTTGCATCATCTACAATCTACATGAATTAGGGAGCCTGCTAATATGGACTTAAAAATTTCTGACAAGTCTGCAATTCATGTTGAAAACTATAACTGTGCATATTCCCAATCTTTTAGATTCTAAGATTGCTTCTACATTTTTATCAAAATTAAACTTGTCAGTCTCAGTTTTAGAAGAGCATGCCCCCCCTTTAGCAAGAGTGAACTGTTTAATATATCTGCAATAAATGTGCAGTCAATTTTATACTGAAATTTTTCTTAGTGATCAGAAAAGATTGAAAATTTATAATCAGCCTTTATGCATAATTTCCCCTTCTTTTTTTTTTTTCCGGTTCCTTTAGTTTGGGGATATTTGCATGGCTTATTCTTCCATATCCACTTTGC